TAGACTGATTCTCCCGATCTAGAAGAAAAACAGTGGACAATCAGCATATATATCAGTTATGCAAAGAAAACTTTCTATAGGGAAACAGTTAGGGCATTGAGTTTAAGTGTCTTTTCAATGGAGTTTTTCAGGATATTATTGTAAGGTTATATGTCATATAATTCTTAAGCCTCTTAAGTTGGGGAAGAGAAACATGAAATGTCATTTCTTAACTTCTTTAAGCCCCACAGGGAGTGTATCCTTCTGGTTTAAAATAAAGAGTTCCTTCCAAAGCCAGACACATTCCCTAGTTGTCATCTGTAGATTTCAGTGGCGTGGCTTTCTGCTGATTAATGCATGTAATTGAAAAATGAGTAATAAGCTTAGGGTTTAGACTATAGTTTAATAGGTTAAAATAGAGGTAATCAAGCCAAGGTTCAGATTTTGTTTTGACGGTATATATCTCTCTGTGCTTTAGTCACCTCTTCTGTACAACCAGGGTGTTGGATTCACTTATTTCTATAGGTCTTTTTAGCTTTGACGTTTTGTGATTATAGGTGGTAATAAAAATGGTTGAGCCACTCACCAGTCAGCATGAACTGATAGGCGTTGTCAGAGATGGAGAAGATGTGGGGCGGGGCCTCCTGGCGCTTTTTGCCTCTGTAGGCCGTCACCACCTCGGCGTTATACACTGGCAACCACTTGTAGGGGTTGACAGTGACACAGAAGAGGCCTGAGTAGGTCTGCCCGAAAAAGAAAACAAAAGGAATATAATTATTTCATGGGGACCTTAAAAATCTACTGTTTTTCGAAAATATCGACTACTGCATGAGCAGAAAGCCATGAGAATGAACTCACATAGATCATCCAGGCTGCGTAACGCTCTTTGAGGTTGTACAGCACGGCAGGCTCATGCAGGTGTGTCATCATGGCCATGTCCTCGATCTTGTCATATTTGGGAGGGTTCATGGGGAAGACTTGGTCTTCTTTCACAGTTACTGTCTGTCGGGTCAGATAAGAGAGGCCCGGTCAAAAAATAAGTGTCAGCTAACCTAACCCCAGATGAGGCACAGTCGAATCATCTCAGATGTTTTACTCACAGCTCCAGCTTCAGTCTTGGCTGTCACCTTCCCTCCTTCCCTGCTCTGCACTGTTGCTTTCACAAAGGACTCCTTAGGGTCCACCACAAAGACTGATGTCTTGGCATCAAAAGGCTTGTTCTGGGCCTCAATTCGCTCCTTTTCAGACTTTCGGAGGTAAGGAGCAGCCTCCCCAAAAATAGCCATTTCCTGGTCTGAACTCATGGCTGCAAGTTATTGATGGAGGCCCAGTCAAAGGCCCCACCTGGCCGAGGAAGAAAAGATATTATAGAAATTCAGAAACTGGACCATTAGATTCATATTTAAAAAAACAAAACATTCTTTACTAACTGACCAGTTGAGCTCTTAGCATCATGCTGGGTATGGCCCCTGCCTGTTTTGGCTGGAGGTGAAATGTCAGTCTCTGTGTTCTGTGCCAGTGCTGACAGATACTTCATCATGGGTTTGGAAAGAGACTGTTGGGTCTGGCTCACCTACTGTGTGATATAGCTGCTTTTTCTATCTCATTTATTATGTAGATTAATCTTTATAAGCTGCCTTTCATTGCCTTATACAAAACACAAAGCCAAAATCATGGCAAGATGTTTTCCAGTTCTTTCATGTGTAGTTCTTATCTTCTAATTGGATTATAAGCATTTTGCAGGCGGGGAGCACTTTTCCTTCTATAGCTTCCTCACACCTCTTAGAACACATGCTGGGTACAAGGAAGGGCTCAAAGCTGACTTTGTGAATTGGAAGAATAATAGAAATATGTTGCCAAAATTATAGGGGAACTATTTTGTATATAGTGAAAATCTTTCCCTCATAGATTTGGGATTTACAAAGACTACCTAATAAAGGAAAGCAGAAATGTGGGGAGCTTGTTTTGCATTATTTTGTTAAAAAAAATTCTATTATACATCAATTTCTCTCATTCCTGTATCATAATTTTGACAAACTCAGCTTCTTCACCTGTCTTTAGTATGCTCAAAGACTTATTATAAAATGTTATTACCTATATTTTCTTGCTTTATTACTAATATTCTCATAAAAATTTCACAGAAGCTTTTCTTTTAACCAACATTCAATAATATTCATAGGTAATCTGTTTTATAATAATAAAGATATCTTTTCAAGGAAAACTCAAAGCACTTGGGTAAGCTTTTCCATATTTTTCCATTCAAACTACAGTGATTTGGATAACACAATTAAAATGCTGTGTCTTGCTAAAAATGCTTACAATCATTTTTAACATCATATCTTTTAAATTTCCATTTTACAGATTGTGAAACAATATGCAGATTTTAGCCACTTCTCTAAGGCAAGGATTCAGTCCGTTCTATTTATCCATTTAGACAGCATCTCAAGGTTTTTTATATTATGTCGTGCTGAGTAAAAGCTGTAGCACAGGAAATTTACATTTCCTCTATAAGTGAATAATAGCACTCTGAAATGTTGTACTGCGTGTTATAATTCAATTATTTAAAAGACAATCTGCAATGCTGGAAATAGAAAAAATTGTATATAAAACTCTTAAAGACTCCAAGAAAGCATTTTTATATATTCCAAAGGATATAAATTAATGAGAACCAGTTTTTAAAGGCCCCCTCAGAGTTATTCAAGAGGAGCATGCTCAGCCATGAATTGAAATGCTTTTAATTTGTAACCCCCTGACCACTCTGCAAACCACTGTGGAAGATTTCTTATACCCTGTGAGGAATGAGAAAAAAATCGGTATCTTACCTTAGAGATGCAGTCTTGAAGTGGGTCAGAACTGTAAGAAAAAGAGCAAATTTCTTCTGATTAAAGTCTAACAATTCCCAATTATATCATAATTCTTAACTGAGAACCGGGAAATGACTGGAAACACTAAAACATCTAATTAAAATTGCTAAGGAATAAGTTGGTGCTTCACTGTAAGGGCTGCCAGAGGCAGTGGGAGCAGGAGCCAGGATGTGTGGCATACATGCAGGCAGCCAGACATCCCTTACCGTCCTTCCGAAGAGCCCTGTCCTCATACACACTTACCTTGAAGCTTTATGAGGAAAGACAGGTCATACTCATTCCAAGGGTAGTTTTATAGGATCAGATATGGAAAACATGCAGCCTCCTCCTCTTTCCTAAAACATATTTGGCAAATCATGTTTTTGGCAATGAAGGTCTCCAGGCATAATTCTGCTCATATTAAAGATGTTTGGATATAATTAGAAACATTTCCTCTCACATTGGGTTAAGTATATGAATCAATCTCCTATAAATAATTTGAGTTGTTGGCAATCTGAAAGTGATCTGCCTTTGGGATAATGTAAGGTGTTGTTTCAAGACAGCTCTGTTCTGGAATCCCTGGACTTTGTTGCTTGCTGCTCTTCTGTTTTGTTGAGTGGCCTGTGTGAAGTCTTTTCAGCTGCCTGCACGATTGTAAATCTTATACTAGGAAGGGAAATTTCTGCTCTTTACCAGAGAGTTAGAAACAGATTGTTAGTTCTTCCCAAGAGGGCATGATGTGGTTTTTTTTTGCAATTTATTGTGCTTTTTCAAGGATACTTGGAAATTTAATTTTAAAGCTTGCTTCATGAAGAGCAGCCAAAGATAGATGACTTCTTTTGTTTCCTCCAGCCGCCTCTGATTCATTATCAAATCATACCACTCCCACTTCAAACTTGTTCCAAAACTGTATTGCCTTGCCTCATGGAGATATCCTGCTTCTCTCATTTTTTTTTTAAATACAAGTTGCTTGTGAAATCCTGTTTCCTCTATGAAACTCAGCATAGGAAAATATTAGAAAACAGGGCATTTCTCTGTCTAAATATGCAGCATGTTTGACTTCTCCATCAGCTACCCATGGTATATATTTCACATTTTGCTCACAAATAATACCTGAACATTGTTTCCTATTCTAAGTTTTAATTAAAAAATTTGTTTAATTGTCTTTGTGCCCTTGCATCTCTCTAAGTCAGCATTGTCTGTCTGGGACTGAGACCAAATTTGCTTAATATACCCTGTTTTGCAGCCATTCCTGTATTATTGTACTTAAATTTCAATTGATTTGATGGAAATCGGTTGCCTTATGAAAGCAGATATCTGGAGATACTGGCTGTAATGGCCACAGGATTTTATTACTGTAAGCAGCCATCTAATTCATATTCCTTATTTTACTAATAAAGCAACTGAGACTCAAAGAATAGAAGAGAGTTTTCACAGATCACACAGCAGTCTAGACCTGGTCACCTGATTCTCAGGTCTGCTGGTGACGCTCTTCTACCTGGAGTAGTTTAAAGCCATCAGGAAGGGTCTTACAAGAGACATGTGTTTGAGGGGCTTTCCTAGCCAACTCCTAACCTGCTTTGTTACCACAGGTACATCGTTTTACTTTCTTACATGTCTGTTTTCTTTATTAGGCATCTGAAAAATGTGGGCAGTGATTCTCAGGAAGAGAGAACATTTTAATAATATTCTCAACAAGATTTGATGGGAATTTTAAGACAGCTCTTTGACCTGCTCTGGATAGATTTTTCAATAAGTAACAAGTAAGATGTTGTTTTAGTCATTACTGCCAAGTTGCGAGGCGCTTAAGCATTTACAGGTGATGTGGGAACAAAGTGAAAGAGGGGCCGATGCAGTGAGAAGGGCGAGTCCACACTCTTCCACACTGAGGCCAGTGTGACAGTGTGAATCCGGAATACCTGTTAAGCTGCTTCCCACACATCTATTCAAATTGTTCTCTCACAATGCCATTTAAAACAATATATTCGGGCTTGCTCTTCAGGTGGGAAGCTGCCATTCAGCTTTTCCTTTATGCTGTCCAGGAAGGTTATATTTTTGGCTATACATCTCAACTGAATCCAATTTATCCTCTAGGAAAACTTCTCTGAGTAATTCAGACTGCTACCATATCTAGTTTTTGCACCAAACTCATACTCATCATTCTGTGTATTGAATATACATTTAAATAATCTATTTTGGGATTCATATTTTATTGACACTTTTAATCATTTATTTTGACTCTTTACATGATTATACAGGAGGCCATAAAGTCTGGAAACATAGGCTAATAAACAACTTATTGATATTACATTATGATATATAGAATAATATTCTCTTTGTCTCCAGACTTTATAGCCACCCTGTAGCTTTCATTAGGGAGAAGGGTCACATCTCACTCTTTCATGTCATATCCATTGCCCAATGCACATACTGTGAATATACAGTATATTGGTATTAATGACGAAAATCTTCATGGGCTAATAGTAATACTTTGGATTTGTATTCTTGATAACAGTTATTAAGCAAGGAGAATTAATGATATAGTTCAATCTGAACCCCCTATGTGAGAATATAGCTGCTGCCATCCTTTGCATAGACCTGAAAAATTAGGTTCATATTAGGGGAAGCAGGAGCTTTCTAAGATCCTACTATAACCTAATATTAGGGAAAGGTTAGAAAGAAATAAAAATAACTTCTAGATTTCTGTTCATCAGAATAGGCTTTCCTGATAAGAGACAACTCTGTGGTCTTAAAGTATTACTATAGACCTAAAATAAAATTGAAAACCTAACTACTGCTTAGTGGTAGGCTGAATGTGATTCTTAATAGCCTTGTGATTATTCAAGCTTTGACATGGCTTCAGGAGAGAGAGAAAAGAAAAAAGAAAAGACCAGTCTAAGGATATTGCTTGCAAAGTACCCTATGCTCTTTATTTCCTTTGCAGTAGGGTAGAATAGACAGTAATTACAGATAGAAATGACCAAAGACTTCACATTCTGTGCCTCTCTTCAGTCATTCCATAGCATGAAGGCATGATCACTCTTCACTTATGATTTTGGTGTGAACCTCCCGGCTCTTCACCCGCAGCTTGTTGACCTGGGACTCGGCAATGTCAGCCCGTTCCTCGGCCTCCTCCAGCTCGTGCTGGAGCTTGCGGAATTTAGATAGATTTGTATTGGATTGTTCCTCCTGAGAATAAAAATAGAATTGTAAGGAAATCATATTGTGTATCATTCTAGACTCCATAGGCCGAAGGGCATCTACAGAGAAGTTAAAATATTCAACAGGAAACATTATTGTCTTACCATCTCCTGGATTTTTCTTATCATTGAAATTAACTTTATAATTTATTTGTGGCTTGGTGTCTCATAAATAATTGCATCCCTATTTTTGCAACCAAAACATATTGAAAGATATATGCCACAAGTAGAGCAAGAAAAAATGTAAGAGCAGGCAAGAAGTTAAGAATATTAAAGTCATACTTGTTAATGCTTGCTATAAGATGATGACCATTTGCTCGAATTAGATATTCTTTATCATATTAAGGATAAATTTCTTAATAGTTCCTTTAAATTGAAATAAATGTTGAATTTTATCATATATTATTTTGGCACATTTCAAAACAATTACTTTTTTTCTTCTGCTTTGGATGTAATTATTCTCTTGACAGATTCCCTAATATTAAGTAATCCTTAGTTTAGCTGATTTAATCACTGATGGACAATACCCCAAATAAAGTAAGGGTTTCAGTGACTTAGTAATTTATCTTTGCTATAATGACATTATGGGTAAAACTGCCTTTAGTTTTTTCCCTCCTATTCGCTCTTGGACTGGTTTTGGTATGAGGGTTATGCAAGCTTCTTAAAATGATTTGGAAAGCTTTCTGTCTTTTCCCATGCTCTGGAACAGCTTACATAGCTAGGGGATTATCCGTTCCTTGAAATTTTGAAAGACCCATCTGGACCTGAGTCCATTTTTAGAACTAATTCAGAAATAACTTATTCAGCCAACTTAGTAATTTATATTTTCCTATAAAAATCATCAATTTCTTTAAGCTTTCAACTGTGTTGACAGATTTATATTTTACATTAAAAAAAATAATCCTCTACTTGTATGGTTTGTCCCCTTTCTCATTCTTAATGTTGTGAGTTTGTATTTTCTTTCTTTTTTTCCTTGATTAAGCTAGTTATAAGTCTATTTATTTTATTAACTCACCAGAAATTATCAGATATTACTGAAATTATCAAATTAGAAAATAGTATACTCTAATTCATCAATTTTTACATTTATCTCTAACAGTCCGTCTTCCTTTCGTTATTTTATTATTTGTAATTTCTTTATTGGACTGTCAGTTTATTCGTTTATTTTTATTTTTGATTCATAATGACAGCATATAAAGCTATGAATTATCCTCCAAGGACAGCTTTGACTTCATTCTATAGGTTTATAAAAGTAACATCTTCCTTGAAATTTTATTTATAATGAATAATTATTCAGTAATTATGTTTTTTATTTGCAATTTAACCAAAAAATATTTAGGAAAGTACATTTTTTTAACATTTAAGTCTTTGGGAATTTTAATTTAGATTTTATCATTGCTTTGCAAGTTTATCACACTGAGACTAGAGAATGTGGCCTGTGGTATTTCTGCTTTGAAATTTTTTGAGGTTTCTTTGTAGTTTGAAATTTTACTTTTAAAATCAAGCTGTTAATATTACAAATAATAAGCAATAAGTACAAATTGCACACATATTTGAAAAAGTACACAGTCTGTATAAAGCAAACAGCCTATTACTACAAGGATTAGTAAATCTAATTATTATCTGTTAGCTTTTCTTAACAGAGGACTTCTCTCTTCCCTTCAATCTTAAGGATACTTACAGCCTCCTCAGCTTGTCTCTTGTAAGATTTCACTTTCGCCTGAAGTTTATCTACCAGATCCTGAAGCCTGAGAATATTTTTTCGATCTTCTTCAGTCTGAAAGATTATAAAAACCATAGGGCCTTACTTCAAAAGCA